ATACCACTGTACTGCATTTTGTAACTAGTTTCTTGTCTTTAAATGTGCTATATAAATACATTTTCATTACTTTTACCTTGCACTGTCAGTGTCCTTACAAAGGTTCCCCTCATCCCCACCTCAGTGTAAGATCTGTGTATGTGTGCCTGTGTGGGGCAGGACAAAGGCCTAGTCATATTTTTCCCCAGAAGTTTCACCTGAAGCCTAAGGCAATTGTATGGATGACGAAGTAGGAGAGGGGAGGTGATAGTTGCTCTAGCTCTTGAGTAATCGTTCCAGAGAATCATTTTTAGATAAAAGAGCAGACTGAAGAATTAGTCAGTGTTTTATTTTCACATTCTGTGACAATAGTTCATTTTCTCCTTATTTTAAAACCTCTTCATCCGAGAAACTAGGATTTTTTAGAAGAACATATACATTAATAGCAATATTGGTGTATAAAATTCATTTGGTTCCTACTGTTACCAACCTTACTGACGCCCAAACTGATTCTTTAGCAGTTACTGGAAAACTAATGGAAATGACATCAGTCTGACACAGAAAAGTGGTGATAGCTGCTTTTTCTGAAAAAAATAAAAATAAAAATGTATATTCATTTAGTTTTTAATAAAAACAAAAAATAAACCTAAAACAACTGTACCAAAGGACCAGAAATAATTATGCTGAAAATGGAAATCCAAAAAGAGATTTGTAGATTTAAGAAAATGCACATTTTGAAAAATCCCCTCATGTTTTGAGGTTCTTCCTTCAAATCATCAGGTAGCAGAGAGACAAAATCTTAATGTTGAAATGCTAAACTCTGAAAGTGCCTGCAGACTGCCATCTCAGGTCTCGAACTAATTACAGATGACGATGACAACAGAATCTTTTTCCATATACAGTTATGTTGAAACTGTGACGATGACAGAGGGGGAGTTAGAACATTTCTAATAACAGCATCACTGTGAGTGAAAGGGTGATCCACATGATTGCCATTCATATGATGCTCTGCTGCTTTCCTTCTGTACAACTTCCTGTTTCTCCCATGTGTCATTGCCCTGAGGCTTTGTGACTCATGCTGTGATGAGCCTGTCAGTCATGCTGTGATAGCGGGAAACCAGACTGAAGCTGTGTTGAAACAGTGTTTCCATATCCTGTGATGGTGGTGGGGACTTCTCCTATTGCATCCACACACATGATGTGTCCTCCATTGTTATACAGATAAAAGAAAAAGAAAGAAAATATTATTATCAAAGAACACTGTCTGCATCTCCGCCAACTGTATGAAACATTTAGATTAACTGGTTAACTATCTCCAAACAATCTGTACACGCCCTGCTTCATGGAGTCAAAATCCACACGAACTGCTAACAAATACAAAGTCCTGCTAGTGCAAGGGAAGTTATCTTATATAGAATCAAACACAGAGCGAAACAACGGTCTGTTTTGCAAACGTAAATATAATTTTTGGAAAGTGTTCTTGCCAAACAGTAACAATGAAAAATTCCCTTAATGATAAGGGATTCCAGGAAAAGTTAATATACCAGCACCGCCTGTGTGCTGGCCTTGTTGCTCTGTGCTTGTTGTCCAAAAACTGCTAAAACACAGCCAGTGTGGCTCACTGGAACATTCCTTTATTATCACTGGAGTTTAGTTTTACTCAGTCACACACAAACCACAAAGCTTCGAAGACAATGTTAATCTGCCACTAAAAATAGCCTCCAGTAATGCCCTACTGTTGGACTAATGTCACACTGAGCCCTTTTACAGTCTAACTGTAAATTTGAGCTGTTGTCAAAGATGGAATCTTAAGTATTTGTATTAACGTGAGATTGAAAAAGGGGGGTAAGGAGGAGGTAAGGTACACACAAAATGAGTTATGGCTTCGTTCTGTTGAGTGTGTCAAAGCTCTCTCAGTGAGCCACTTCAACTTGTAGAGGCAGTAGGCACTAGCAAACAACTGTTAGCTGGATCTGGATCTGTCAATCATAGCACCCAGGCCTGATGGGGGGCTGGGTTACAAATAAATAAGTAAAAATCAGCCACTCTACACTTGTTATGTAGGTGGAAATGTCTTTTGTAACAGGCTGTAAACATTAACGTTATAATGTAGCAAGCACAACATCCCAGGTTCAATCTCAGGAACAGACACAAAAGTCCACAGAAAGCAGTGACGAGAATACTTGAAACTTGAGTTTATTTTGAGCTGTATCATTATTAAACACGTACATTCAACAAGCTTTAACCTGCCACTGCATTGGTCTGTTTATATTTCTCTCTCTGATCGTGTGTCACCAGAGTTCAAATGAGTTGAGCTCTCAGCTAACGGCACTGAACATGTTTGCAGTAAATACACCTCAGGCTGCTCACTTCCTGTGCTGACATGTTTTCTCCTGCTGGGAGTGTCTCTAAACATACTGCGCTGCGCTAACAATTTAGGCTAGTACTATGAAGCCAAGATGCTTTCAGAAAAACAACTCTTGTAACGACTTCACTTTAACAATAACCAAAGAGCAAAAAAAAAAAAACACATCACTGGAAACTGACTGGCACAAACCAAAAGAATTCCTCTTCATCCCCCCATAACCACATCCTAATCCCTGGCAGACTGGAGCCTGAGGACAAGGCCTGTCTGCTGTTTATCTCTAAGAAATCTTGTGACCACACCTCTAATCTTTACCTCTGCATGTGCTTGTTGTGTGTGTTTAATGGCCTGTCTATTGTCATTCAGGTGCGAGCATAGGTGTGGCTCTTTTTCAGAATTACAGTCATTGACATTAGTAAACACAGGAAGCAAATCCAAGTAAGAGTAGGGCAGGAATGGCATTATTCTTTGGTTTTACCTGGCAACAGCCACTGTGAATATGGTGGTAAAACTATGTCAATGTTTGGTACAAAACCTTCCCCAAATGTTTTTTCAGTAACTGACACACCTCTGTGCCTTTCAGTCAAGCTGTTCCACTGCAAACAGAAGCAAAGGCACAGTGAAGCAAGAGCCTGGCTTATCAGCAGCTGTAAAACTGCCTCACTCTCTGCAGACAGCAGAGGCTTGCTAAACAGGAACAACTGGCTCGCAAGACAATAATATCACATGTGCTTTTATTTCAGGTCTCTTTATCATTCACTTTAAAGTGTCAGAAAGCACAAACAATACCAGCAGTCAAGTCATGCATATTAATGTTTTGTTATTCACAAAATCCTTCCAGCTCCTGTATGTTTCACTTCTCCATAACTGCAAACAGCATGCAGTTAACATTTAGCTAAAGAGCCAAACATTTTCAAGAGCCAGTATATCTAAAGGAAATCTGGCCCAGAAACTCAACTCAACTCCATTTGTAAATGTTTGCCAACAAGTTTATCCAGGTGACAATCGCAGTTTTGTGTTTCCAGCTGCCTTGAAAGAACAGATAATGTAGAACAGGTTTTTACGTAGCTTGTTGTTTGTTTCTGTTTGTTATTGTTTCCATTTTCACTGTCTTTCTGGGGGGTTTGCAAACTGAAGTAAACCATTTGTAAACACTGGTGTATTTAAAGCTTTAACTAAGGCAGGAAGAGCGACTACAAAACAAAAAATTTAATCCACAGTTAGTTTATCACATATATCTGGCTAATAACCTGCTACCAAACACCCAGCAGACAGACAGGAACATGTTTGAGTCTGAATTCCCGGAATACAGACTACAGACGGCCCACTTGTCTGATCTTGTTTGCTGGAGACTTTGCTTTCAGTTTGATTCCTTGTTTTTTATGGAAGCCCTAATCAAAATGGCTTCAGAAGAAAATTACAAAAGAAAATTTGTAAAAAATTTGTAAAAAGAGTTGACAGTGATTCTCTAAATCAGGGGTGTCCAAATCCAGGCCTCAAGGGTCCTGCAGGTTTTAGACGTGTCCTTGATCCAACACAGCTAATTTAAATGGCTAAACGACCTCCTCAACATGTCTTGAAGTTCTCCAGACGCCTGCTAATGAACTAATCATTTGATTCAGGTGTGGTGACCCAGGGTGAGATCTAAAACCTGCAGGACACCGACCCTCGAGGCCTGGAGTTGGACACCCCTACTCTAATGGTCAGCATTATTAGAGACCCTTTCACATTAGACGCCTGTTTGATTCAATGTTCAAATCAAGCTTTGTTGTTTAAAAAGGCGTGATGACATCACAGTTGGGGTGGCACACAACTTAAACCTTTTCTTTAAGAGGAGATTGTTGTTCCTCTTCTTGTTTAGGTTGATTTCGTTCCGTTTTTTTGTTTTGTTTTTGGTTTCACTATTGCTATTAAAAATATTCCAAAGATATTGTTAAACAAAATATGTAGCTTAGTGCAGTTGATATTTGCACACAAGAAGTTAATTCTGAAATTAAACTTCTTTGGATATAATAAAACATTAATATGAAAAAGAATATAAAAAAGAAGAAAAAACAATCTAAATGACAATCCTTGAACCTTTGCCTTCTCTGAATCATGGACAAAGCAAAAAATTGCAAAAATCTTTTCCAAAACAATAAATTAACGATATTTTTCTTGTATTATTTCACACATGCATGACAAATTTTGTAAAGTGAGTGAGTCGCTGTGCTGGCCTGACACAGTGCACTGAGAGCTCAGACCTATAAGTGAAAGCAACATAGTCAGCAGGCTGGTCTTCACCGTCTTTAAATAACATGGCGTTACTCCACCAACAAGCTGTGACTTGCAGTGACAGGCAGCCGGGAAGCCTGAACCAGTCGCTGCCCACTGTTGAAATAGAAAAGTTATTATAAAGGTCTATATGGTTTCACTTTTCTTCCCTGTCAGACATGTTAGATGAGGTCGTTTTCTGTTAGTGGCTATACTAATGCATGGGAATTTGTCACCATCTAGTGGGCAGCAGTGTACATGAATAACATTCAAATGGGCAGACTTTCTTCTTCATGCATGATCAAAATGAACCCAAGTTTACAAAGCAAGAGCACCAAATTAGAGTGTTGTGTTCCTATGCTTTCATGATAGCGTATAAAAAACAGTCCCAGTTTCAGCCTTGTGATTTTCAAAGCGTAATTTTATTGGCTTTGACTGAAAGGATACAAGAGGCAGCATAGCAAGAGCAAGAGATAGACAGTTACTGTAAAAAAAAGAGCAACAATCCCATTTTCTTTTCTTATACATGTATAGTACATATATATTATTTAATTTGTGTTTTATGCAGCAGGCCATATTAGAAGAACTGTGACTATACGGTATTGGGCCACAATGTTAAAAAACTTACTGGTGATTAACACTGGCTGTTTTGTCACAATGCCATTTTCTGCTGGGTAACCTGGGTTCCCAGCACTCATGTGGTTCTTATGTTGAGACATAAGGTAATATGTCTATAGGTAATAAAAAACTGATATTTGACAAATGTAAAGGTTGGTGCAATGATAGAGATAGTTCTGTTTTCTGATCTTTAGGCTGAATAAGGATTTCTCTGAAGTCAAAGCGGACATGCGTTGATAGTTTTTGCAGGAATATATTTATCTGTGTTAGTCAGTTTATTTGCTGGGAAAAGCTCACTAAAAATGATATGAATAAAAATTATAATTGCAGTAAAACCCTGTTATTAAGTAAAAATAATATGCAGCACCAGGTATATTTTAAACCAGACTGGATTGTGTTTTCAATTCATGAAGTGGTAACTGGATCTGAAATAACATTTGGCATGTCTCATAACAGCAAAATGATCCCTGTCATCATACACTTCCTCCAAAATATCTCGACTTTCTACACAACATCCACTTACAAGTTTCTTCTACAAACTTGTAAGTGGATGTAATAGTACTTTATTTTGAGTGTGCATCAAGACAAAGTAACAGCACTTAATTTCTTTGAAATTTATAGATACTTTTGGACATAACCAACTGTGAACTTTTATGTTCGGATACCGATACTCTTAATTAGTTATATATGTTTCAGTTACTATAAAGAAGTATATTCCTCAGTGACAGCATGATCATGTTCCAACACATCATCAAATCTATTGTTTATGCAGCTGCTGACTGTGGTTTACACCATTTGAATCTTTTGTTTTCTTTGACAAACAGAGTAAGAAAATCACTTGAAGGAGTGCTCGCTAGCATTCTAGTCCCACGATAATCATGGAAAAGAAAAGTAGCAGATACACAGCTCCCCGTGGAAGTTTTCTAAGACACATATGCAGAACTTCCCACCACCTACGAAATGCTTACATGTGAATAATAACTATGCTGTGAATTTATTGTCACATGATCACTGACAAATCAGCTTTGATCATTTTAAATGCTCGTATGAATGATAAATGGGCTGGTTCTTATATAGCACTTTTATAACTCTATCTGAGCACTCAAAGCTCTTTACACAACCTGCCTCATTCATGCATTCACACCCATTCACACAAGCACTTTTTTTCTATGTAAGTGCTTTCTATCTAACATTCACACATGCATATGAAGAGAGCGTCATGTAGAATCAGCCAGTGATAGATGTCTCTGATGTCTTCGTGCTCCTTCTCTCCGCTTCTCTGTTTTGGGTAAAACACAACAAAAGTTTCTAGCATATCAATACAGAGCCACCAAACCAGGGTGAACAATGTTTTTCTTCAAGGGGTCAAACTGACTCAGGATCAGTGGAAATGCAGTAAGTGGAACAAATCAGAAATTACTGTTTGTTTATTATTTTAAAAAGCTCCATTTTTGTTTCAATGTTGTTTTGTTTGGATGTTTTGTTTGGATGTTTTGTTATCCAGAAATGTAGATTCTGTAACAGTAAGGTAAGAGTGCCAGCTCCTTGTGGGTTAATTAAGAAGCACTACTTCTTGTCAGAAGTTAGGTGATGTTAATATTAATTCTAGAAATGTTACAATGGGGGAAGTGATGACAATTAGTGTAGTTCACTATTGGACAATTCAGTTTAAAAAATGAGATGTAGTTAAACTTACCAAGCAGGAACAGGAGACCTGACGCTTTTTCAGGACTACTGGCTCTCCACCACCTGTTATTCAAACACAGGCTTTTAACTTTGCCAACTACCACATTTTGAAAACAAGGGGCAGCATTTTCACAGTGACAATGTTGCTACTGCTATCCTGTTTTTACTTTTGATGTTGGTTTTTAGCCCTCAGTTAATCAAGAAACTTTGCGTTTTTCCAAGGTCAACACTGGACATACAAATATCTTTTTAATATGTAGCCTGGTTTTGTACAACATGAAAGCACAGCCCTCCTGATATGGCACAACATCTCATTAACACACCTTGTTTCTATGCATTATTTTGATAGCTTTAAGCTAAATTTGGATAATCCCGAACTACTATTAAACCACTATTCATGAAAAGTGTTCTCAGAAAATGTGTCAAGGAAAGAGCATTTCATTCCTTTGTAGTAATGCTGACATCACCACACTGAGAGCAACGGTGCCCAACACTGGGTCAGCCCAGAATCTATTTGACACCTCGGCTAAATTTGCAAACGTGGAGTGATTCTTAAGACCCTCTAGTGAAAAAGAGAACATTGATGTTATCTCTGACCTTGATGATTACTTGTGCTTGTCCAGATAACCCTTCTCCCCCCATATCTGCTGCCTGTACTGTCAGAGTGTACTGTGGATATTTCTGTTGGAGGAGAAATATAATGAGTTCAGCTCATCAACAAGAAGGATAAAACATTCTATCATCAGTTTGTATCCAAAGGAGACTCTGATGAGATACGTCTCATTTTAAAGTTCAGTGGAATATGCTAACTAATTTCTGTTTACATAGAACTGACAGTGTCATGTGACAACATCCCAGCAGAACAAAGATTTCAAGTTGATTATTAGCAACAGGAATATATGGAATCAAGCTTTTTTCTGAAACCAGAAAGAGCTGACAGACACTTTGATATTTGGTACATTTTAATGTTGCAGATTCATCTAATGCTATAATGCTGTCCACCCTATGAAGCTAACCACTAACTGTGTGGTAGCATAGGCAGAATGAGAGCCAGGGAGTTTATTTTCCAGCTGCACTCAGAAGAGACAGTTTTATTTCATTTTTGAACATATATGTTTGAGACAGCACCAGATCATATTTAACTTTGTCTACAC